TTTGTTTTCCATGTATCTAAGACTTGATCTATTTTCAAATTGAAGTGAAGATACTAATATGTGTTACTCACATGGAACAAGATATACCAACCTTATCAAGGTACTGAACCAAGTTTCTTGGAGAACCACGCACAACCCTGATGAGAGTTGTGAGTGATACCAGGTGGACCAGTGAATCAGATGCAGTAGACCAGATTTGGCTTTCTATTACTGTTAAAAACCCTAGAATATCAGCCATTGCTAGACTTGGAAGAAGAGTCCCAACTAAGGTCTCGCGGATGGATACTGATACAGCTGGATTTTCACCAGCCAAGTTGGCTGATGGGCCACTTACACACTCAATCTGAAAGAATATGTCACTAATCAAACGAGGTATTTCAGAGCCAATGCATGCCTTCCACGTACTCTCCATGCCTTCTGCAAGGAGCTCTGCTGCAGTGGAGCTATATTTTTCATTCATTGCCATTACCAACTTCACCAGTGGTTGAACAACTAATGTGGCAAGACTTGGCTTCACAAGGCTAGGGTACCATATTACCAATGCCGCAGCAACAATGATGTGAGATGTCATTGCATCTTGACTTGTTCCCCCAACACAAGAAATCCAATCTTGCATTTCATAAGATTCTAGCCATGCAAGTAGGTTAGCTTCCTCAACCTGAGAAGTTCCTTGTGTATCCAACAAACATTCAGAACTCAATCCAACCATGGGTGTTCCTCCATTTCTTGAAATTTCATGTTCAATTTCTTCAATTCCAGTCAGTGACCTCACAAGTTTTGCATGCTGAGTTGCTTGTTGACTACACAGAGGGTATGGAATAGCTCGTGAAGCAGCACAATGAAATAAAGACCGTGCTGCCATACGTACATGTTCACTTTCATCTTGCCAAAAACTCACCAAAAGCTGTAAAGCAAATTTAGACATACTGAGCATAAACAAGGTGTCGACTCAGACAATAAATTAATAAATAAACAAGAAACCTAATCAACCATATCACCAACATAACCAACAACCTTCTACTCTCAAGGACACCATTAAAGGCACACAGAAGATATAATTATGAAATGCTCACAGGATACAAAGGAAAAGGCACAAACAATGAAGGCATTGACAATTATAAATTATTACACAGTTTTTAGTTCAGAACCACAGATTCAAAAGACCAAGTTATCAGCACAAAATGGAACCTGGAGTGAAGGCGGCTTTATATCTGGAAACTTGTCAGCGAAATTCCTAGTATAGAATGCTGCTAAGGCACTGCAAACAGTTACCAATAGAGGCAAAATCGTTAAGTAATGCCAATAAATGCAAATGGCCGGTAACAAAAAATAAAATACATAGGGACCACCATTTCACAGGCTGGAATAATAATGTATCAATCAAAATGTCTCATTGTTAATCTTTTAGAGGAAAAATACATACTTAAGAAACACATAGCATTAGCACAATGCACAGCATGAAAACATACTGCTGGCATAATCAGAAGACATGCAAGCATGCCATCATGTCATGGAAGACGACTCCTATGGCCAGTCCTACCTTCAAGATTAGCCAGAATAAAGATAACTTAAAGAGGTGAAACTTATATTCCATTTAACATAAGTTTCCAAGATATTATGAGCATAAAATAATTATCATTTCACAGATAATGCATGCACAGGATAACTATTCACTTAAACAGAAATCTATCCTGGACTGATAAAAAGGTAGAATCCACTTCAACCAATATGCCCTTATGTATGGTCAACTACTTCAAAAAATTATCTCTGAATCATATCATATATCTACTAAAACTTGAATTTTGACATGTTACTTCGTTTTGTTAACAACTGTTTACACAATGATTAAAAGAAAAAGGCTTCTTTTTTGCAAATTAGCTAACAGAAACAATGAAAGGTAAAAAAGGAGACAACAAACATTTTGAGTGCACAAAGTAAATAGAGAATAATCAATGTACAAATAAGTAATAGAAGTATATTGATTCTGTGCACTGCTTTGGTGGAACAACTTTGACACCTGCTGGCACCTGAACTTGAGTGAGACAAGCTAATCATGTGTTGGGCAAGCGAAACCATTGTCAGTGACCTAATCGCACAAAATTCTGATGAAGATTTCCAAAGCTGAAATGTTAATTAACAACTTAGGAGCGGTTGGAATAAGTCAAATCCAATATCAATACAATTCCTTCAAAATACCTCAAGACTTGAAGTAAACCCCGGAAATGTCAGTGTCAAAGACCCTTTATCACCTTGCAAACCAGTAGATACTATAAACTCATTAGGTCTCTTCAGCATCATCTCAGTTATTAATAACTCATCAAGCCCACAATCCACATCCCATAAATGCAAAAGGGACAAGCTAAATCGAACTAGATATTCTTCAAGCAACTTGACCCAGTCATGCTGTTCTACAGTATTGGTCGAACTCTGATCAGCGACAAAGCCATCATCAGAATTCGTATGATGGGGACCTAATGTCTGACTTCCCTGCTCCTTTGTATAGCCATTTTCTTGCTCGTTATCATCCTTTGCTGTAGACTCATGCTTCTGACAAGGATTTATCAATGCTGCAAGATCAAAACTCAGGGTGGCAATTCCAGGATATGGGCAAAAGCATTTGATGGGTTGCTTTCTGGTTTGAAAAACAAATGGAGTGATTGGGATTGCCTTTCCATGATTCACTTTACTAATATTTGCTTGTGATGTACTAGGCCCAGTCATTTTTGACAAAGTGGCCCCACTTTCAGAATTATTTAAATTGTATTGAGAAAAGTTCCCATCTTCATGTATTGGAAGAAGTAATGACGAAACTGAGGTATTTCCACTCAGTAAAGAACCAGAAATGGAAGTCATACTAATTTCTTTGCAGAAATGATCAAACATTGAATGAGAAGCAGTCCCACGAAGGACCCGCTCTCTAGCACCGGTCTTCACATCCCATATGTAAAGAACATCAGTGGCATCAGAAATTCTGGAATGGTCCCGGCAGAGACATGCAATATAACCTCTTGCACCCTCCCAAACAACTTTTGCAGGATAGTTAGGATGTCCAGGAAACATTCTCTCCACTCTTAAAGTTTCAAGAGAAGTAAGAGCAACACAAGAGTCCTCTCCAACAGAGAGAAAGCAATCACTCCAAGGGCGTTCAGTCCGAGCAGGGGGGAGAATGATTTGCCGCACTGGACCTACATGTTGGTGCATCACTGTAATGAGATTACCAGAATCAAGATCCCATATACGAATGGTGCAATCCATGCTTCCAGAAACTAAAACCTGACTAAAACTCCATCCTTTGGCAGCACCCACCATCCGATGTGCTGCCAGACATAGTATAGCACCCATGTGCCCTGAAAAGCTTTGTCTGGATATATGCGAGTCTACCTCAAGGCGTGGACTTACCGCCGGAGAATCAAGCCCCCGAAACAAATTAAACCACACAACTTCAATTTCACCACTAAAGAAGCCATATACAATCGCCGAAGGAGCATAAAGATTTTCAGAAATAACCATGGAGGAAGATACAATCTGTCCCTTAGGGACAGAATAATAACAACTATCATCTGCAGGTATGCCATTCACAGTTTCTGAGCAGAAAACAGAGCTTTGAATAGATGTCAATTTGGTCTTGCATCCACCCAGGGTCTCATTTTTGTGATCCAAGCTAGCACCTGAAATCCAGCCAAGAGAAGAAATACTGTTTCCAAGCATTGTGCATTCTTGGAAGAGGTTGCCATGATCATCATGTTTCTGATGAAGTGACCAGATTGTAACACGTGGTCTCCACTGGAATGGGTCTTCAACATTACAGCAAACAGATTCAATGCGAAGAAGAATTTGGCTCAACTGGACAAAAGAAAATGACAACCTTACATCAAGGGGATAAGAAGCAGCAGGGATTTCACACAGAGGCTCAGATTTAAATGTGTTATTTAAATAAGATATTGTGTACACAACTGCAGATCCTTTATTACTCCACACTAAAAAGTTTTCATATTCATAGGCTTCACCAGTACTTTGTGCATTCTCAGAATTGTTACTTTCAAGAAACATGGCCCCTACAACATGTGATTGACCAAAATCACCTTCAATGCACAGGA